TTTTTTTTTTTTTTTTTTTTTGATGGAAGAAATGCATAAAATTATTCTAAATGCCCCAATGATTTAGGTTAGGTGCTGTAGTGATAAACATATAATGAATGCTCTTTACTTAAAAGCTGTATACTGTACTTGGGCAACAGGCACAAATGTCAGCAGGGGCTATTAAGCAAACACTTCAGTGCAGTGAAAATTACCAGAGTGCTATTTGTTAATCTCCCTCTGCTACAGATATGGAATTGTGCAAAAGCGCTCACAGAATAAAATCAGTAGATAAACATCCAGCTAGCTGCACGGTCAGTGTATTTTAAGCATTTACCCCTATCTGTTTTTACTCTTTCTTTCCTTTTTCCCTAAGAGTGGAATTATGCAGTTAAGGGAAGCGTAACCCTTCTTTCTGGTTTTGTAATTAAAGGAACGTATCTGCTGCACAGAGCCCACCAGTGCCTCATTACTTTCCAGAATTTAGAAAAGAAAATCCTCCCCCTGAATGCTGGGGGTCAGGAAATTCAGAAGTTAAGGTTTTTCTCAAGAGTGTAAACTTGACTGTGGAGCACTTCTGTCCACTTACACTTTCTGGCATCTTATGAATATAACTTACAGATGTCTCGACTCTTTCATATTTATGGGGCACATCTACATTACATTTCTTCTGACGCTAGGCCTGCCACCAACAAAATAAGCCTCACCCACTCACTCCTACTTGAGAGCGCTCAAGATAAGCAGTTCAACTGTGGAGGTGGCTCAGAGTTGCCTGAATGTCTTCCTTTCCCCACTGCACCCCACCCTCCTCAGCCCAGTGCCATTTGCAGACGCTTCCAGGACTGACAGAAAGTGTGATGCCTCAACCCCTGTCTGCTTTTGGAATGCTCCAAAGCTGTTCACACAATTTAATTGCTGCTCTTGGGTGCTCCTGAGTAAGAATAAATAAACCAGAGCTTATATTATCAGCAGGGGAACCTGTGTACATATGTGCTTAATGTTCCCCTTTATGGCATTACTGTTGAGTATACTTATACTGGAGTTGTAATATGAAGTATTTAGCACTTCTGTACTGCAGGTATAATTGCAACTGTCTAAGATGGTCCAGTTTTGGTACAAATAACATACCTTCTTTACTTATAAGAAGGTACAGTCGTCAAGGGAATAATGACTGTGTTGGTAAGAGACACTGAAGAAAGGTATGTATGATTATCAGTCACCTTCCTGAATAATTGAATTTGGCACTACTGCCAACAACTAATTGATCTACCTATGTTTTTGTGTGATTGTGGCAGAGTTGGGTAGCAATGATTTAGGCCATCATGATGAGGCATGATCCTGCTTGTTGTGTAGAAATACTGAAACCAGAGACTTTGCCATCTCAGTGACATGGGTAAGATCCTTTTTACACTGCAGTGTTTTAAACCATGTTGGGGCCAGCAGGTTCTCCTGCCAGGGCCTAAGTCTAACTCTTCTGAGTTCATACCTTTTGCTGTGTGTTGGATTCTGCTGTTCAGATTATATGCTGGTGTGAGCTTATCTCTACCAGGTCTCATACTGATTTTTGATTGCTGCCATGGCTATAGATACAAACCTTTTCATAAGGTTACATGCATCTGGGTTTTCCCCAACATGTCCTCCTTTTCGGGTCCTCTGATCTCTGTCCGGGTGAGTTTTTGAAATCTGAACAAATGTTCAGGATTTTGCTCTGCTCTGCTGGCAGGAGTGGGCAGTGGGGAGCTGCGCAGCTGGGCTAGTGGTCATGGGGGCAGGGCACTTATGAGACTGCCGGGAGGAGAGGGGGCATAGCCAGGTCACCTTGCACAGTGCACTAACCCAGCCTGGTGGGTGCTACAGGCATTCCCTCCTCCCTCCTCCCTCCAGCCTCTGCCCAGGCTGGACTCACTGTGCTGCCACCTGCATGAGCCGCAGCTGCGGCACTCTGGCCCAATTGGGACTGGGGCAGCTGGGGGCCCCCTCTGACAGAGCATGAGGGCTGTGGGTCAGGAGTGAGGGGTACCAGAGGGGTGTGGGTGCGGAGTAAGGAGCCCCTAGGGGGTGGAGGCCTGTGGGCCAAAAGTATAGGGCACTGGCAGCATCAGGGTGCTGCGGGTCAGGAGTGAGGGGCACCAGCTTTGCTTGTGGGGGTGGGGGACTGTGGGTAGGGAGTGAGGGGCTTTGGCAGTGCCAGGGGGCTATAGGTTGGGAGTGAAGTGTCCCTCTGACGTGTAGGTAACCCTACTTTTTATACATGATCTTCTGTGAGAGCAATGATGTAATCCCTGTTTAGAGGCAAGTTTGCATCCTTCAACGTTAGGGATAAGTCTTCAGACTAACTCCTAAACAGGCAGAATGCCAGTGATACAAGGTGGGTAACTGTCCCTCTAATACCTGCACTGTGCTGCCAAATCTGCTTTCTGTAATGGAAAAGTTATCTTCCAAATAAGTGTTTGGAAAATACCTTGGGAATAGAGCTGTGTGAAGCTTCGGGTGGTGACTCTATTCAGAGGAGATTCAGCCCAATCTTCTGAAAAGGTTCCGAGAGCTTTGATTCGGGCAGTCCCCAGTGGTGGCAGCAGGGGACTGCAGCCAACTCCCATCTGGTAAGGGCTGGGGGAGGGGACCATGGCGGGGCCCTGCGAGCCCCCCCCCCGCTCCCCCA